GTCTGCTCTCCCTGTACTGAGCGCTCAATAGACCGGCACAACTCAAATGACTAAGAAAACTTTCCCTTCCATGAATATGTAGCAGTTGCTACCTCTCAAAGATCCTGAGTAGTCTCCATGGATGAATAACCTTTACCAATCTCAGGGACCATGGAATGAATGAGCCACCCCATGATAACAAAGTTAGGAATCTCCCATTGATCATAACCAGGATAAAAAATATCTAGTGCTTGAGCTCTCCCATCAACATATCCCATCTTCCCCCTACACTTCACAAAAAGTGTCAGACACTGAGATCATGCAAGGTAATTCTGACCATTAACAGAGGTGGTGATTTTGAAGCTAGGGTTTAGGTTCTCAGAAGTAGTAGTCATAACTGGACTAACACTCTTCCCTTTAGATGGGTGAGAAGTAGTGGATTCGCTAGATGGGTCGGCCATGTTTGTGCTACTATCTTAACCAAAAAACACAGCACTAATCACAATAATGGAAAGAGGGAATGGAATGGGCAAGCAATCTCAAACACAAAGCACTATGAGAGCATAACACTTAGATTAATGGGGCCATTTACCACCCCCAAAGAATAATAAAATGATAAAAAAAAAAAGAAAACAAGGTGAAACTTCAATCAAAATATTAGTCTTGGGTTCAACCATAATGAAAAAAAATAAAAAATAATAGTAATAAAGAGGATGAACCAAGGAGTGTTATCTGGACATATGATATGGAGAAACACTTAGATGTTATCACAGAGAGTTTGAAACACAAGAGAAGGCTAGAGGGAAGTCCAAAGCACCTACCAGGCTATGGAAGAAGCCTGAAGATACCCAGATGGGTGTTGGTTTGAGCTGAAAAACCCTAGGATGGGTGTCGGCTAGTTTGAAACCACTCAGAGAAGAGTCAGAAAAGCTTAACAGGCCCTGAACAGCAGCTGGAGGTCTTTTGTTGGAGCCAACAGGGTCTGGAACAGGTTGGATAGTGACTGGTGGTGGTTGGGTGGTGTATTGATGGTGGCTGGTGGCTGTGTGGGTGATGGGTTTGGGGTTTTGGCTCTGATACCATGTTTATTTGAGAGAAAACTAACTTAGAGAATGATCAGACAATCACCCCCTTTTATATTGAGAATAGGTAGCTTACAATGGAAATCTTGGAGGCACAAATAGGGAAATAATAGAATAAGAAAATAACAACTAATAGAGTAAGAAAGTCTTAAGACACTAATTAAGGAATCAAAATATAATCTAAATAAGGAAACAAATAATAGAATGATCCTAATATATATTCTAGCAAAAGTCATATTCTGCTCTAAATTAGCCTTTCCTTGCTTTAATTTTTCATCCTCTACAGCTTGTATGGTATCCAAATCTTCAATTTGATCGCAAGCCTCTTCTTGAACAATTTGAGAATTCACTTGTAGCGCTTTTATCTCATGAATGGGAGCCTTTTTATCCTTAATAATCTGGTCTTCTTTGATTTTGGGCAAAATCTGATTGTTTTCTTTTGCTTTTGACCTCAGTTTGCGCATCTTTGACAATAATTTTTGGTTTTAGTGCTACCTGTGATGCATGTCTCACACAATTTTGTAGTTGTTGTAGCAATCCTCCCTTTGAAGTAGGCTTCAAGACTATAGATTTCTCCTTAAATTTTATGAAAAACTCAAATTGCATAGCAGTTTTAATAGCATCTTTGAGATCTTCCAAATATGTATGAGATGTTTCTTCTTTAATTCCAAATCTCAACCCACTTTTGAAACAAGCAATAGTCATCCGTTCACTTTCTACCACTCCAGATTTGATCAATAATTCATTGTATTTTCTTGCATAATCAATCACACGCATATCACCTTGCTCAAGAGCATGCAATTGATCAAGAAAGTCATCTTGAAGATCCCCTAGATGAATTTTTTCTCTAAGAAGCATTTTACTCTCTTCCCATTTCAATCCACTTCTATAGGATCTCCCCCAATGTAAAAGCATCACAGTGGAACTTTAAGCTTTGATACCAAACTGATGTAGAACTATTAGGGCAGCAGAAAATCTGGACTTTTGGGGCTGATTTTAATTGGATTTTATGGCTGAAATTGCAATAAGAGTATAGGGTACAAGTAGGGTTTTTTAGGATAATAAACTGGCAAGAGTTTAACCATGAAAGATGAGATTTTGGCATTGTTTAGGGGCTGTTTTAGGAACTGTGAACAGTACCTGTGCACAATGTTTCTCTTAAAAGTGCAGCAAATAAAAGAGGAAAAGGGGGAAAAGGAGAAAAAGAAGATAGGTTTAGGAATCACTCCTAGAATCCCTTAGGCATCACACCTACGGTTGGGGTTGCATCACACAATCCATAAGAAAGCTTCAAAGCTTTTCAAATTCTATAAAATATCAACTCTATTAAATTATAAGTATTACATGGGTTGATAGGAGTCCCTCATAAACCAACTACAACAAAAAAAAAAAGTAAACTATTATATCTTTAATTTCCAAAACTAATGTAAGACTAAATAAGAAACAAAAAACAAAGACTAACTAAATTTGACCCACAAGATGACCTATGGATGACCTATGGGTGACCCACACAACCCATAATTTGGAAATTCTGCAAATTACCAAATTATCCCTAAGCTTAAAATCTTAGAAAACATAAATATAATTATAAAATAAGATTTTAATAATACTAGAAACATAATTATAAAAGATTTCTGTTAGTTTTTCTATGAAATCATGCCAATGTCTAAATACCATCGCTTCTTTAAATTTAGCCTTCCTTTGACTTCTTTTTTTTTTTTTTTTTTGATATATATTCCTTGAGCTTCTTACACTCCGCATCAATTTATATTCTTCCCAAATTAAATGTGAACTAGGATCATATCAAACATAAGTATAAGACATTAGTTTTTTCCCAACAGCTAGAGGCATTCAGATCTTATTGGTAAGTTGCTTCAAATGATTTACCACGTGATGCGCATCTTATTATTTAATTGATATTTGATACATACATTTTATTCCTATAAAAAAAATGATAAAAAAAAAAGATACATACAGCTTATTGCAATTTTTGGAGAAAGAACAAGGAGAATCAACCTTAGACAAGAATTTGAAAACTGTTTTATTGTTTGCATTGGTTTTTTAGGATATAAAATTAATAACAGGGCTAATTGTACATTTGGTCCCTAAAGTATTGCTTTGTGACATTTTCACTTCCAACATTTTAGTTATATTGATTTTGTCCCCAAACATTGAATTTGTGTTAAAGTGGCCCCCATGCTTGACGATGTTAGTATTCATTTCATATCATCTGAATTAGCTTTGGAACAAAAAAATTACCCCTTAGCCAAAGAAAAAAAGCCTTTGACACAACTAAAATGTTGGGAGCTAAATGACACAAAACACTTTAGGGACCAAAAATGTAATTAACCCTCTTTTTGTTGGGTTGTAATGTTTTGTTCCAAAATTGTCTCTGATTTTGATGATCAGTATTGATGGAAATTGACATGGGGACTGTTACGACCCGCTCCCCATACCCAAGGGTTAAGTATCGTGATGGCCAGTAACTGAAGTTACCTTCGGCCAATTCTTGAAAAAATTAATAAATGCGAGCGGAAATAATATTTAAGTGAGGGTACCAAAATAATTATCGGAGTTTCTATTTTTATTACAAAATTTATCGATCAAAAAGGCCGATATTTACATATAAAAATATCATAAAAGTGCTGTGTGTGTCTATTTTGCATCCCTACGTCTAAGACTTTCCAAAAGCTATTTCTGAATTGCATTGTTTCCCGAAAATTGGTAAATAGCTATAAGCACATGACAGAGTGAGAAATATTATGCCAAGATTATAAGGGACACAAAATAACCATGGATAGTTATGTAACTAAAATATTTAAGATAATTTAGTCTGAACAAATAATCATTTAAGTAGCAAAATTGAGATTATGTAAATAAATAACCATAACCACGGTACCAAACAAAACAGAATAGAGGGCACACGAGTGACAGTCAGAATTGAGGTACGGATTCAATAGGTGGCTCGTACGGATTATAGAGGTGACTCCCACAATAGTGTAGCATTTATCTCCGCACAGAACAGAGGTCAATAGATCCATGACAATTGAGGACTACAAGGTGGCCAAACAAAGGCCAATGGTTATTTAAGTCCCCGTATGGGACTCCCGTGGTAGTACTTACAAAACATAATTGTATATGAGGTCATTGTCAAATAATCATTAAAAGTTAAACAAACATATCCATAGGTTTCATTTTAAGCAAATAGGGTTCAAAAAATAATCCACGTAATTAGAATATTAATATAATTTATAAAATATAAACTTTTATGTAATAATTTATGGTAAGTCAAAACATACGTAAAATATATTATGGTGACTCAAGATATAATATAACTCACCTTAATATTGACCCTTAGCCTTACTTTCCACTATCACAACCTTTTTACTATAAGTTTCTACTTCCAGTATCTTACGTGCCTCTCCCTCTCTCTTTTTTCCTTTCGTTTTCTCCCCATAGATTTTGATCCACTCCTCCCTATTTATAGGGACCTAAAGCATCATCGGGCTAACACGTGGCCAGCTCGAATCCTCCCTGGATTTGCTCATAACTCACCATGGATTTATACTTATCTTAATGAATATGTGTGATAATTACCTTTTGGCCCAGTTTTCTAATATAACTATATAAACAATTTAATCTCCAATTAAATTATACTTTATCGCATACCAACAGAAAATTAATTATTTACTTTACTATCACATTCACTATTATTATTAGTATTTATTTATTTATTTATTGTTTTGATGTTTAATTCTTTAGTGTTCCTAATGTAAATTAAATTACACTTTATCACCTATCATCATAAAATTACTTATTTTATTTTACTTTACAGATTATTATTATTATTCTTATTAATAATCATTGTATTAATTACATATTTAGGATGTCATATTTCTCCTATCCTAAATAGAAGTTTGTTCCCAAACTTGATGTACCTTAATTGTCGAAAATGTGTGGGTATTTGGCTCGCATTTGACTTTCAGTTTCCCACGTAGCTTCTTCGATATGATAATTTCGCCATAAGACTTTTACCAGCGTTATGGTCATGTTTTGGAGAACTTGATCGCGACGATAAAGAATCTGCACTGGTTGATCTTCATAAGAGAGATCCTCTTGAACTTCCAAGTTCTCATAGTCGATGACATGTTCTGGATCTTGGAGGTACCGTTGAAGCATCGAAACGTGGAACACATTGTGGACATTGGACAGTTTAGGTGGTAGTGCAAGGCGATATGCTACAAGACCAATCATTTCTAGTTTCTCAAATGGCCCGATGTAACATGGGTTAAACTTTTTGCGCTTTCCAAATCGAATAACTCCTCTTGTTGGTGAGATCTTAAGGAACACATGATCTCATATTCGAAATTCCAAGTCCCATCTTCGCGTATCTACATAACTTTTCTGGCAGCTTTGGACAGTGCGAATTCGTTGCTGGATAAGTTGGATTTTATCACTTGTGATTTGCACGATATCGGGCCTATCAGTTTCTTGTCCCCGACTTCTATCCAACATAGAGATGATCGACATCTCTTTCCATACAAAGTTTCGTACGGCGCCATTCTAATGCTTGTCTGATAGTTGTTGTTATAGGCGAATTCAACTAAAGGTAGGTGCTCATCTCAGTTACCTTTGAGGTCCAACACGCATACCCGTAACATGTCTTCCAACGTCTGGATCGTTCTTTCGGATTACCCATCAGTTTGTGAGTGATAAGCAGTGCTAAACTTCAGTGTGGTTTCTAAAGCTTCTTGCAATTTGTTCCAGAAGTAAGACATGGAACGGGGGTCTCGGTCAAACACGACTGAAACTGGGATGCCATGCAAACGAATAATTTCTTTAATGTATAAAGTGGCAAACTTATTAAGGGAGTACATGATTTTGATTGGCAGAAAATGCGCCGATCAATCGGTCTACTATAACCCATATTGCATCATTCTTCGAAAATGACTGTCGTAGCCCGACCACGAAGCCCATAGTGATGTGTTCCCATTTCCATTCAGGAATAGGGAATGGTTGCAGCAGTCCTGCAGGTCTCTGATGTTCTGTTTTAACACACTGACAATACAGATATTTGGAGACATGGCTTGCTATGTCTCTTTTGATTTCTATCCACCAGTAGTGTTCCTTTAGATCATGGTACATCTTTGTGTTGCCAGGGTGGACTGAAAATCTCGAGCTATGAGCTTTCACCAATATCTTCTTTTTAAGTTCCAGAATATCGGGTATGCAAATTCAATTTCGAAATTTTAGTATCCCATTATTTATAGTGAAATCAAGATCATGCGTACTCTTTTGTTCCTCATACTTTTTTTTTCAAAAGTTTATTTTCCCATTGGCGCGCTTTAATTTCTTCAATCAATGTAGGTTCCACGGTTATGTTGGTAAGCAACTCATTGATCTTGAGGGAAATGAGAGTACAGACCAAACTTCTGGTGATCTTTCGGTTCAGTGCGTCTATCACCACGTTAGTGTAGACCGCCCGAACTCCGCTCCGCGCGCGAAGGCGCGAATTGTAGTTCTAGCTACTACAGTTCGAACTTCTGTCACGGTTCTGAATCTAATCTCACAAAGTGGAATGTAAGACTGATAAATCACCAAAGAGTCCAAATCCGGAAATTGGTTTTGAAAAATCAATTTTGAATCGAAAAGCGCCAAACATGGACTGCTTTGCCAGATTTCAGAATCGCCACCTAAATATTTTATTTTTGAAAAATTTAGGAAACCCTGACTCGTGCCTAAGGCCACGTGTCCGTCATTACCAAAGTTGCCTCGGCTCGGGAACTTGGGTACGAGAGGGAAAGGTCCAGAAATGAGCACCCCCGCTCGCCCGATCAAAGATCGACCTCTACTAACATGATATGTTGTTTTTGAAAGCACATGTGTTCTTATTCCGATTATTAATCTAATTTACTACGTGATGTGCACAGCAAACAAATATAGACTCAATCATGCAGATTGGAACAAGACAACTCATGTTTATTTTTGAAAATGGTTTGAAAGTGTTACTCGCAAGTAGGCTAAGACGCGGATTTTCCACCCTCAAGTGGGCTTAGAAAACATGATTTTGCCACTTCAAGTGGGCTTAAAACTCACAATCATCGAGTTGTTCCAATTCAGGCAATCGAGCCTTCACCCACAGACATTCATACAGTTAAACACTTAAGTAGTTAGCTTCATGGCAAGCATGCTATCATGGCAGTCACTTACACACATGCAAGGATGCTAAAGCATAAACACTTACAGTGTACTCCGAGCCAAAACAGAAACCAATTAGAAATCGATGCATGATCCTAATTATACAAGATGCCTAATGCAACACATGAAAAATGCAACTAAAATGGGCTCAGCTAGCTAAGATGGCATATGAATACAACATTTGATAACATACTTTGAAACACGTATTCAAGTAAGTGTATTAAAATACAATGCAATTTGAATGATGCGCCGAGCCCGGTGCATGCAATACGAATGAATGATGGAAACATGCAAGCATAAGTGTCACAACCCAAACCCGCCCCTATGGGTTTAGCATCGTAACCGGCCAGTAATCCTTGGATTACCAAAGGCCTCTGAACTGATCAACAAATTAAGGGGCTAGCGGAAACAAATACGCAAACCTGATTGTCCAATGAGTTGTGCTGACTTATATGCGACAGAATATTTAAAACTTTATATACATATCCAGTAGTCAATCATATATTATACCCACACACATAATAACGTCTTAAGTACAGCTAACAAAAACAAACAACTCTCATGCACAGAACCAATAGAACTTGGAACACGTGACACTTCAGGAACCTCCATGTGAGGCACAATGGTTGGCTGACAACAGAACACAGATCTAGACAAAAGCCTTCAGGCTCGATCTCTAAAATGCCCACATATACATATATATATATATACACACAGTGAGCTAAAGCCCAGTGAATAACATTAACATAAAGAGGTTAATGAACGAAGTCCGAACTTGTCATAAGCGTGAAACAGATCATAGCATAAACATTCTTGTATTTGAACATAATAATGGTATATCTCATAGAACACATCACATATCATCTTCCGACTAGAGTAATCAGTTCCGGATACCGATTAAACACATATCACCACAATGAAGTGACTAACGAGATCTCGTAATCACATATATGTCATGGACCCACATTTACATGTCGTCCCCCATGACTTGGGACTATCTATGGATGTCATAATAGATTTTAATCACGGGACATTCGTTCACGTAAACAATATCATTTCAGAAATCATAACTTATCAAATCACATTTAGAACATAATTCATATGAACATATCTTTATAGTAACGTTACTCATAGTGGTCTCCTGTAAACGGTCAATCAACCCTCGAGTCTTGACCTACAACCACAAAATACATAACACAAGCATATCTTATCATTACGAATTCATGTGGCCATCACGTCTTAGCTTTCATTACAATGGTTCTTATTCTTTCTAATCACATAGATCAAAACACACACTTGTAATCTCTTAACTTAGTACATTCCTTTCTTAGTGTGTTTCTAATCCATAACCTCATTACTATGGCTTAATTAAGTCTTAGGAGTGCCTAAGATGCAATGAGAATGCCAAAATGTTTTGGAAAACACTTAGTCAAATTTCTGAAAACAGGGTCCCCGCTCGAGCGTAGCTTTCCTCGCTCGAGCGGACATGCAAAATAAGAATGGTCGCTCGAGCGCAGATTCCCTCGCTCGAGCGGTCTGCAAAGATACGAAACTTCTGGGAGCTTGCATTTCACGCTCGAGCTGACTTTTGGTCGCTCGAGCGGAAGTGCATGCACTCAGAGTGGTCGCTCGAGCGTGAACTCCTACGCTCGAGCGTAGGTGCAAATTCTGAAATTTCTAGATTTGATCACCAAGCTCAAAACTCGAATTCAACTCTACAAAACACATCTCTTGGGCCCCAAAACTTGAGATAACATAATAAACTTGTAAAATATGAAGAATTAAGGATTATTCCATAAAATCATGGCCCAAGAGTTTGCCAAAAGCTCACAATTCATCTTGAAATTCAAGAAGGAAAACATGCATGTGAAATCTTTCAAACTTTTTTCTTCAAAACTCATGAAACTAGTAAATTGAGCTCATAAGCTCCATGCATGTAAGAAATTCCTTCTCAAAACATGTATTCAAGTGAATAGACATGGTAATTCCAACATGCATGCACCAAATAACTTACCATAATAATTTACATGTTCAAAATCAAACTCAACATGTCAAAACTCCATATAAATATGCATGCATGTGGGTTTCTCATCCAAATTCTCCTTCAAGACTTCAAAAACATGGGATTGACTTACCAACTTGATGAAACTCATAGCTAACATGGTAAATTAACATCTACATGGGCATGTATGTATGAAATGTAACCTAATTCCTTATTTTAAGCTCAATGTACACATTTAAACACATAATCTTCATGTTGATAACTTATATTCATAAATTAGGGGTTGAATTCATGTCTATAGTCTTGAATTAATCTATCTCTAGCTTAGTTTTGATGAATCTTAGCCAAGATCTTCAATTCTCCTTCAATCTCTTCTTCTCTCTCTCTAGAATTGCACACACTCTCTCTCTAAAATGAATCTCCAGAATTTTGCACTCAAAGAATGAGATAAATGAGCTCAATGAGCTTAAAGGGCTCATATATATAGCTATGATGCTAAAATACATTAATTAGAACATAAGGCTTGCCAAACGCAACTTAATGAACCAGACTAAATCAGTTTTTAATAAAATTTGCCATATAGTTCTAAAAATTCCAAATAATACATTCATGTAACCAATTCCGATTTCGGATACCGATAAGGCTTTCAATTTTTATATTAAAGTAGAGTTCCAAACAGATATTTTTACAAGTAACAAATAGGAAACCAAAGATCATGCAAATTACATAATAAACCATAATTTATTATATCCACTTAATTAACATCCTTAATTACCGATTAGTGGCTAATTGCGGATCGGGGTTATTACAATAAGGATGCTAATTGAAAGATGCCTTAAAACTAACCACCGTAAGCGATTAAGTAAAAAGGAGAAAGAAATGGGGTTGGAAGACATGCACACACACATGCACCCTTATTACAACAACACACCCTCTCGCAGGAGGGTCCGAATAATAAGTTAACTAGCTACACTAATTAAACTAATTATTACAAACCGAAACTAATTAACTATTCATAGTTAACTAATTATTACAAAACAAATCGATTAATCAA